CATCCACTCAATCCCGATTTATCTGCTTGGCGTTCCCACGCTTCAACTTGATTCATTTTTCGCTGCTTGCCCTCTCGCATAAACATTCACCGCGACTCATCGGTTCCCTATTTGGCTCGTATTCTCACTGACACGGTGAGGATTCGTAACGAACTAATTTTAAACTTACAAAGATGAACACCTATTTAAGTTTTATCATTGTTGTATATTATTTTCATTTCGTTTTTTATCTTACTGTAACGGTGAACACATTTTTGACTGAAATGTGGGCACAGTCGCCTGCACAAGTCATTTATGGTACAATATAAATTTGCCTCACTGCGTCCAATATTTGGGGCTGTCATTCATGCTACACATGACCTGTGTCTGGTTTACGGTTACCATGCCAATGGCATATTATCCCTTTCCATGTTCTTTTCTCTCTAATGAATATTTTCATTCTTTCTTTCTCGGCACCGTTCCATACAACTTTCAGGCACTTAATCGTAGTGGTTCTCCATTGCTCCTGGATGATGCACTTTCCAGCACTCCTGTCGATTCACATCCACATGACTTGAACGGACCGAATTCGGTGAGCTGGATGAGCGACGCGGCGAGCAGTGATGCGTCACATCTGCTCTATCGCGAAATGGACCCATACAATCAGGCTGCATTTGTCGGCACAGATAACCGCGCCTCACCCGGTTCTGGCCAGTTCGATCCATCTGAACAGAACAAAGAAGGTGGTTGGGTTGCAGTGACCAAGGTGTCCGATGCGAAACACGGGACTACAGTAAGTCTTCTTTCTCATCTGCACGTTTCGCATTGGAGATGTGTGATCGTGCATATTCAACTGCATTCGATAACCCTTCAAGTAACGTTTTCGGTCAGTATTTTCTTTCAGAATTTTCCTCCCTCATAATTTATGAAGTTTTAGATGTGAAATTCAGTCACCGCATTGGTTTTGCTTATTTGGCTTCACCGCGTTTATTGAGATAATCCCGATACAACAGTTGCCCGAAGTATACTAAACTTTCCAATGAATTCCCCGTCGTATCTTCCTGCCGGCTGAGCATCTTTCTAACGTCCAAAATATTATATTCCTTTTACTACTTGCTGTGTAACACCGGCAGCTCTATTTAAACCGCCTGAAAGCTAATGCATTGACATTATGATGATGAACGGTTCAGCATCGCTTAACCGAATGGTAGCACTCACATCACCGTTCTACTTGCACCGGAATGATGTAATTTCTAATCTCTTGAGTCACACACTTCCCAGCACACTTGCACAAGCTTGCCACAGGATTCCGCACAAAGGCTCTAAGAAATAAGCGAGTGACGCGTAGTCAAACTGATACCCCCCGCTCCCTAAACCGTCGGAGCACGATCACACCGCCGTATACTGTTCTTCTACCGTTTAGGCATATTGACCGTTTTCCAATGAGCTCAACTTCATGTTTTTCCGGCTCATGGTCATCTTGCTTGCCGTTTTCAGTGTTGATGGCCTCAGGGGATGGATTAGTCTCCAGATCGCATCAACGCGCGAAATCTTTTGTGGTTGTTGTAGTATCAACCTGTTATCTGCGAAAGCCAGTGTTTTCACCAACCCAAAAAGTACCAAGGTTCTCACTAGTTTTACGCCTCAATGCATCTCATCATTTTGTGACCTTGTAAGAAGACAACTACCTGGCTTCTGGGTAACCGATCGTGGCACATCGTTTGTTGTCTGTCGAAAGGCGTGACGGTCTACCTGACTCACATATTCATTGCATTGATTCCGTGTTCTACTGCCAGCGGCTCGATGAGAGAAGAAAGCCCAAAAATTGAGATAAGCGTCATGTTTCTTTACCGCTGTTCAGCGTCTACTAATGCTCAATCGTATCAGTCATTCATAAAAAAGGTTGAGCTGGTGTGCTGTTTTGCACAGGAGATATATGGAATCTGTAGCCTGATCCGGGGCTTTAGTTATTTATCGTCCGCAACAAATTCTCACGCATTTTGTTCGTGGAGCGGGTTCAATTGTCAATCAACTATGCATGGTTTTAAAACAATCTACCATTTTCTGTGAAAGGGAGAGGTGAGCTAACGTGGAATGGGCTCCTAGGTGGGTACGTTGCAGAAGTTTTTTGTATAAAATTATCATTTCTTGTTATCGGAGCTGGCTTCGTTTTATGGCTGGCTAATTTCTGTCAAACTGTATTTACCAGGTAATGTACTTGAGTATCTTTCTGATCTTGTCTAATCATCCAACGCGGTTATATCGTTCTCAACACAGTTAAACCTGGACAAGGAATGGCGAACAAATTCGTTTTCAGTGATTCGTAGTCATGCCAAATACACCACAATGAATATCACACTGCTTATATATATGTAGCGGTATTCAAACATGAAAAAACCAATCAACTGTTTTGGGAAAAGGAAAATAACATCATAGGTTAACTGGGGCTAATTTTGTCTTAGGACCGGACGTGGGATTCGCAATGATCACATAATTGTTAGATCATCCGATCGTTGAAATAAATCACACTATGAATGTGATCGAGGTATTCCGTCCCCTGTATCGGGTTCGTGGTCGACTATCAGAGCAGGTTCGATGTCGTCTGCTGGCCACAGCGGAGGCGGTAGTAATTCGGCGGCACAATCCCCTTCTGTGTGGCCGAAAACAATTTGTGCAGGCGCTCAAGCTCCCTTGGCCCTCTCACTACACACCCTATATCCCGAGTGGTTCCAACGGTGGGATGATCTAGCAATTGTGATTATTGAGAATCCCGCGTCTGGTCCTAAGACAAAATTAGCCCCAGTTAACCTATGATGTTATTTTCCCTTTCTGAAAACAGTTGATTGGTTTGAATATTGCTATATATATAAACAGCATGATATTTATTGTAATGTATTTAGCATGACTACGAATCACTGAAAACGAGCTTGTTCGCCATTACTTGCTCTATTTGAAATGTGTTCTGTGGGACTGTTTGGACAAAAAAACTAATTGAAATTTGAACTGAACAACCGTCGTCACAGCCAAGTGCAGTTGCTCGACTTCTTGCATTGTCGAATGAGAAAAATGAAATCGAACAAATTGATTCCTTGCATTTCGTTTTATTTCTTGTTCACCAGTTTTCAGCGCTCAAGCAATGCTGTAAGTGTTTTTATTTATTTATGTGAGCCCATTCTCACCAAACTAACTGTCATTTTTTTACGGTTGCGGAGTTTGTTCATTATTTGTTTTACAATTCTGTCCACTTGTTTCTCTCACCCGGGCATAATATGTAGACATGTCGATGAGATTTGCTATCTAGTAGGATGGTCGGGTGAAATTGGTTTGGATCCTGGCTAAATTCACCGGTTCGAATGTTGTCACCATCTCTGCTCAACTTTGGTGGTGAACAACGTCGTTGTCGTCCGACTCTGACCCACATATCCTCCCTAGGTCATATGTGATTCACTTTATCAAGTGTCAGGGCCTAGGTTTTCCATCACCTGTAATGAATAATGGGTCCGTAAGGGTTACTGCTTCAGCTGATTATCACACAATGGCGTGTGATAAGAGATTCTCACTCATCACAAATCCTACAGTTTTACGCAACATTGACCAAAGAAAATCTGAAAGTCCATACAGATATGCATTATTTCAACGCACCCATAGAGGGCAACAGAGCGTTTGGCTCTAACGTCCTGTCTGTTGCGTAATCCACGCGGTCAATCACTACGCTTTTATGTTCCGCTTTCGATTACGGCTTTTAAGCTTCAAATATTTTTCAATTGTGGCGGGCGGTTGACAAACGATGAAAATATTTACGTTCCACTAATAGTAGCAGTCCGTTTTTCTAGCTATCTAGTAGATGCATCTCACTCCGGTCCTAATACTGTCTATTCAATTAGGTCCAATGGACAGATTTTAAACGCCCAATCATTAATCCAAGTTTTGCCATTGTCTTACACGTCGCCAGAGGTTGCGCACTGAGTAATTCCGGTGTGTTCGGTGACCGTGAACATACCACCTCGGCAGTGTTATTTCGGTTTTCGTCTTTCTACAGTCCACTGGGGGAACTGTCAGCGTAGTAATTCGATGGTCAAAGTCTACGTGACATCAACCGTTAAATTCACTCGAAATAGTTCTCAAACCATGGACAGACAACAAGTTAGGTTGGTTATATGCTATCGGCCGTTCGTTCAACCAAAACATGGAAATCTAAATTGTCAAAATGTTTTTCGCTCTCCACTCGTCGATGATCTGACCAGGTACGGGGATTCTGGCTTCCTTCATCTATACTAAAGCATATACAAGCGCGCCACTGTGATCGCTCATCAGATTTTCATTTTGTTATCAACATGCATTAATTGCGAGGTCTTTTCCAAATATAATGTTATTCGATTTCGTGATATTGCATTCTTTGCCTGATGGTGCCGATAAATTTAGTGTTGTTTATAACAGTGATGTTTCATCCGAAGCGGAGCTCTTTCCAGTGTAACTTTCTGTTCTGATGCCCTCATCGTATTCGTCGAACACTGGTTTTCTACGGAACACAACTGCCCCGCGCGTGTATCGCATTTTCCTATTTTTTGGCGCGTGCAACTTTTGCGTTCGGGATTGAAAGTGGTTACCTAGTACATTCTGACCCAGATCCGATCACTGTTCGCCGGTAAGGGAGATGCGGCTGGAACTATTTATCAACGGTTCACTATCGTTTACACCCTTAGAACATAACTGTGTCAGGATATTGACGTTGTTGGTACGGTCAGATTCTATTCCTTCGTAGAAGCACAAACCTCGTTTACTCCGCCGTTACCAGATTACCCTGAGTTGTCCTGTCATCTGTCATACACCCATCAAGCGGTCGAGTTTTTTTCACCGTTCGCTGAAAGCGTTTGTGGTTAGAAATTCTGTGCGTTGATGTTAATACATTAGACTTTGGCATCGATCACCGGATGATGTACATGCATTTGTGTGTGCACCAGGAGATTAAAACTAACCGTTTTCTTGCACCTGTATTTCATCGTGTGCACAAGCACGATGAATCGCCACATCCAATCACCTCAGTGCGCATTGGTCAACTGACTGGCGTGTGTTGCTCTTCCGTTTTGTGCGTGCGCGTTTATGTAAGGACGTGCGTGGGTGGACATATAACTGCACTGTTTACGTGGTAAGATGCGTATGATGTGGTCTACCCGCCCACCCATCCGCATACTACGCACCTTCGTCTTATTGATGTTGCAAGCTTTCCAAATGCCAAACAATTCTGACTCGATCGTCCCATCGTTTACCGTATTTCTCACCATGCCCCTTTCCATCACTCAAGATAGAAAACAACCTTACCACCACCAGCAAGCAAGCAATATCCCCATACCTGCGATTCGCCACGTCAATCACAGAGGGTTTTGCGTGAAACAGACTGTCTTGCTGAATGATTCCATTTAATCAGACTAGAATAACTGTCCGGATACCCAGTCTTTGTTGTTAATAAGAAAAATGCTTAGCGTAATTTGCACGGCATCCGTCCTCCCGATCACAATGACTACTTCTCCTGTCTGTCTGTTGGAGGGGATGTTCACATTCACGGTCCGGCTAGAAAACGCTGTCATGATGGTTTACATCTGCTGATTAGTATTGATTGACTTTTAATATTTTCTCACGTTGGCCTGGTGTCAGGCATCATCTAGACATTGGTCCACTATTGAACTAACCGGGAGAGCTTATGAGTTCATTTGTTTATCGCTTTTCGAGTTTTATGATCGTCAATCCTTGTTATCGTCATATATACACACAACCGGGTGATTTCACTATCTCAATTCAAGGAGGAGGGGGATAGATTAATACTGACGTTGCCGCGAATGTCCAACAAGCTTACATGCAGTGCTGTGTTCGTTTAATAAAATACGTTTTGTGTTCCCTTCGAAAAATGAACAGTTTCGCAGAATTTCTTTCTCTTTTCCGAGGAATTCATGAACGCTCTGCTAATTGTCACAGATTTTAGATGCATAGTTTCACAAACAACTGTCAAGAGCAATCGTTTAAGAAGAATCATGCTAAATTCGTTTGCGTTCTTGCGTAAGCATTTCAGTGCGATCGGAGTTCAACAACCAAAGCTTTACACAGTGTGTTTAGACACAAAGTCTGCTTTTATCGACAATGTTTTTCCAAGACATGTGTCACAAGTGGCGCCCGCTGCACATTATTCTGTTTGCCCGAGTGATACCCGATCGTTCACATCGTTGTCCTGGGGCAGATGAATCGAGTTCCGCTGATTGGCATACCTCGGGTGAATTTGTTGAAGGGACTCCAGAAACGGCTTTCATTTTCGATCATGTCTGAAGTTATAGTTTACCGATTCTATGTGACCCGCATGCTCGTTGTTTATTTATCACACCACGAAATATGGGCTTGTAATTTTAAATAATGATAATAACTTTCAAATTGTTTGACTATAGTGCAATATGCCTTCCTTGTTTGATTAACTGATACAGTACAGTTTCGCATTCAGACCTATAGAAGGCGACATTGTTTCAAAGTTACAAACCGTATAGTTTTTCTTGTGCTCCATGGAAATTAGTCACCCATACCTACGCAATCAATGCCACCCTTGCCAATGGTTGAATCGGAGAAACGGGAAGAAGACTGTTCGTGTTCGCTAAGAAGCATTCAGGAGTAGGCACCAAGCGTAGACTTTTTTAACCAATGCAATTTGAATGCATTCTTCGTATATACCTATTTATATATATATCGTCTGAGGTTAGACTGTGCTAAATCGATAACTTTATGGCATTCTTTATAAAAAAGAAAGAAGTTCGATGATTTGCTTATGGGCACCCAGGTGAAGGTGGATGAATCTGACCCACATTGCAGGTATTTTAGCCAACTCCTGTAGGTGAACTGCCAGTGGTTCACCGATCCGGT